TATATATATCTTATTATATATGTTGTAATAATTAAAAATTCATTAATAGTAGAGACGATTATGTGTTACCATGAAATCTTATAGATTGAAATTCGCAAAACTTTAATTTTTATAACGAGCGCACGCAAGCGATGATAGAATTCCACTTATTCTATTTAGCAAATAATTATTATTGAAACGTGCAATGTACGGGAGAGGAAGGAGATCGTGACGAAACGTAATTGAGCTATGTTTTTTTTTTTCCTACTGAGGTTACACTAGAATTTACGCGTCACTTATGCTTGACGTATAATTTTCCCGGAGAGCTGACGCCGTCGAGTATATATTTGTTAGAATTCTCCGTGCGCGCGCTTCAAACTATACATCGGTCGCATTAGCATCAGTTTAATCCCTTGAGCGGGTGTGGCGCTGTACAAAGTGCAACCACTTGTCATTTGGGAACTCTTCGAATCACGAAGCAATTGTTGCGAGCGATCGTATCCTTTCTCCAACTTCGCTTTCAAGACGTGATTCAATACATACGTCCTGTGTGTTACACAGCTCCCTTTATTCTCATAAAGTTGATTAAAATTTTCACGATGGCTGATATCTTGAATATGAATTACATTTTATTATAGACAGCTGCTCTTTTAAAAGTCACGATTTTAGACACGCGCAATCGATGAATAAAATACAAACCAAATTCTTACGATTGGCAATCTCATGCGCCGCTTGATTTATGAACGCTTTAGCAATTTTCAATACAGAAACCAGCCGTCCCTTTTTCCTACTGTACTAGTATACGCTCTACATACGCTGCGGATAAACGCTCGGATTAACTCCTTCGTCCAAGCGAAACCCGTCTTGCTTAATCTCATTCTCTTCATATTTATTCTCGTCAAATGCATTTATTCGGAATGCAAAATATTTTTATTTCATAATTTTAACGTCATGAAACATTTATACATGTATAACCTCCATGTATCTAATTGTGCGCAGACTGAAAAAAAGTATTAAAAATATTTACAGTTGTATAATTTGAAAATGTATTTGTTTGTACAGAATCGAATATATTTATAAAAGCCACACGTGACACACAATTTGTAAATTAATAAATGAATTGTTATAAATCTACCGATACACTGTTGAAGATAAAATGTTAATTTTATTTTTAACAGTGCATCTATGATTAAAATATTGCTAACTACTAATCTAATATATGATCTATGGAGAAATATCACCTATGACGAAATCGATGAGTTAGGCGGCGGCTTGCACGCCGACAAGCGAATGGGTTACGCTTATGGTCCTCGGCATACCTTAATCCGCTCCAACAATCCTTGGCAGACCGTCATGACGTGTTGCAAGCGCTAATGTATTTATCAGAACAGGCTTTTTCTGTACGTTCTACTGTTTTTTTAGCACTTCCGATGATGAATTAAAAATTCATGCCAAATAGCGTTACTTTTAGTAAAAAAAAAAAAAAAAGAAGAAGAAGGATCGAAAAAGGATATTATTACATTTTCCTGACAAACTATATTTACCAAAAATAAATTTCAGCGAGTTTCGTTTTAGATTATCGTTAAATATCAATGAGATGACTATATCATGCATTAATCATCACATGATTCCATTAATATCTATCCTGCATAAAAGGCAGCGGGATATTAACGGGATCAAGCGGTGTCATATTAGCAAAGTCTGCGCGCGCAAAAATAGCGAAGGGTCACCGGCCCAACGAGTGAATCTCGTCGAGAAGAGGTGGCCGATCAATTGCTCGGGCAGATCATGTTTACCTGCGCACGACTGCGTTCCGTGACGAATGAATCGCGTATGCAATTTCGATGCAGCTTGTCCCAGTGGGCGGACATTCACCCCCGCGAGTCGAAGATCGCCGATCGGAGGCGAGGTTTCGCGAGACTTCAGAAGATTAGCCGGATACTTGGTCGTATTGCGAAATTTTTCGCTTAGATTTAGAGTTTTTTCTCAAGTGCCCTCTTCTCGACAGTAGCTCGGCATAGAAATTAACACGCCCAATGATATATGGCTGCACATTTGTTGCAAGAATCAAATACGTCTAACGAACTAGCATTGCCTTTCCCCCGCGTTAAACGTTACTTCTTCTAAGACTTCTTATACCGATCGATAGAGACTGTTACAGCAAAAAAAAAGTGCACTTGACTCACTTCTCGTTCTCGAGGCCTTCACACAATTATACTTAAATTTATTACAAATATTTTGTTGCGATAATATAATCCTTGTGCCTTATATTTAGATTTTATTGTATCTCGTACTGAATAAAGATATGCTGTGACCCGCCTTTGAATATTCCAACGCCGCGCTCTCGGCTGGCGCGATCGACCTCGACGACGGAGAACGGAGGACGTTGCACTTTGACCGTATCTAATATAAGACACTGCACGCGAATATAAATACGGCGACTAATAGGGTTGACGAAATCATTAGCGTATCGCTACATTTTCGTCAACGCTCTCATACTTATTCGAAAAATATCCTTTATAAACTTGATTTGATACTTTAAACAAACATTTTTTTTTTCTTTTCCATTAAAATAATACAGTTATACGTTATGTGTATGATGATTTAAAATTAAATTTTATATCTTTGCCTATTCGATAGAGTTTTAAATTAATTACAATATTAATAAATTTATGAGCTTTTACGCTCCAACATATTTTCTGTCACGTTTTCAAAAGAATGGCGCATTTTCGTGACGACACATTTTCGAGAAGTTTACATTATATATCTTTTGCTTTAATAATTCTAGAGTCTTAAATAGCTATTATTCTTGCGCAGGCGTGTGCGTGACGATTGCAACGCGCGAAGACCGTTATGTGCGCAGTGAAAGGACTTCATGCGTTTGAAATTAAGTGTAACGTTATAAGTATTACGAGGTAATAATGTCGCATTACTATTCACTTCTTAATGACAACACTGCGCTCTGATATTAATAGCCAGGATTAAATCCGACCGAAGCAGACCCGAAGATAAAATGAAAAACACATTTATGGAGTAACAAACAACAAGAAATAACAAGAATAAAATAACAATGCGCAATTCAAAAACTAGAATAGAAATTTGATCTGTGTACAACGGAGAATAATAATGGTACGTATCAAATGAAAGTGAGTTATGTGAAATTTTTATTAGAGACAATATCAAGATGAATTACAGTTGTTTTTCGACAACTGTAAAATTATTCGGACGACGATATTTTTCGAGTATTTTGTAATCTTGTAAACAATATCCTCGAAGGGGAGTTTAACTCGTATTCTGTTAATTCGCTGCATCAGTTTATAGTCGAGCAGTTCGATTGGACGCTTTCGCAAAATCTATCTTATCTTCGTCTGTATCGCAATTAACAGCATTACTACATCATCCGGGCCACCTAAGACAGCCGCTTTTTTATCAGCGGAACAGATTGGCAGGCATAATGATAGTGCTACTACCGTCGTGCAACCGAAACTAGCTGGTAGCGCTGGCACAGTGTTTCGACAGTCGCATAAATCCGTGGTTCGATCGATCGATAAACGGCGTGGCACGGCACGGATCGTTGCGAGGCGGTGAAAACGCACTTACGACAGCACGGCGGTGCGCCGTTGACAGCCAGGGTGAAGGAACTTTATCTGACTGGCGACTATCCGGTAGCGTAACGTCTGGTATAACGTAATGCCTGCTAACGCATTACGTAGAGAAGTTACGACGTCTGGCTTTCTGCACTTTCGGCCTAGTTCAGGCGAGACATATCCTATCTATCTATCTCTCTAAGAATTTCTTCGCCTCTTCTGTTTTCTCTTGGCGCGTTCGGTAAGGCCGGTTCTCTGAATTCTATCACCGTCTTTTCGCGTGCCGCAACAAAAGTCGTTTGACCATGTAACAAGCTTATGCCACGCTCGATCTATTTGAAGCTCAGGAATGCGCGCCATTTAAAAGTGAATGGAATTTCAATAGAAGTCCAATCAGGCACAATATAGAATTTAAACGCAATATCATATACTTATTTTTTAAATTGTTGGAACAATTATATGGGACAATTGTGGGATTACTCTCCCCCCCCTTCCCTTTCGAAATCGATTATTTTTTTTCATTTATTTAATAGCTACTACGAAAAGAAAATTTATTATTTAAGCACTAAAGACTCAGCGCGATCGTTTAGGATTTACACCATAAATTAAAGGGGCTTAAAACCCTTTTAATAGATACTTTGTTTTTTTAATATTAAAACAGGATCAAAAAAATAGGTTATATATGTATAAAATAATATGAAAAGATTGAGAACTTGACACTGCATGGCAGTTCGTGTACTTTTTACTTTTATTATATTAAAATGTAAACATTTCACAGCAATACGTTTGAGCTATTTTGAATACCAAATTATGCAGAGAACGTTAGTTACATCTTAAAAAAATCATCACATAAATGAATCGCAAAGTTAGACGTTGAATACATGTTTCGTAAAAAGGGGTTTCTGTTGTCGCACGCATAATGTAATGCTGAAAATGTCAAAAAAATGAATTATAATAATGACCGATGAAGATACCTCGTCGAATTTAACAACTGATGTGACATATTTGAAATTCAATGTCACGTCGTAATAAAAATGTTAATATATCGAACCATGTCTACTATAAAATACACATGTGCCCTCGCACTTATTATTAAAAAGATGAAAATTATAAATTTCTTATTAAACTTATACGATTAACGAACGAATGATTCCGATGGTTCGACATATGAATTAACATTTTTATTGCGGCATTGAATTTCAAATATGTTTCATATCAGTTGTTTCAAATTCGATGAGGTTTCTTCATTGGATTAATGTAATTCTTCATCGGATTAATGTAATTCACTTTTTTGAAATCACATTATCATGCGTGCGACAATAGGAGCCTTTTTGCGAAATCTCATTTATGAGATGATTTTTTTTTTTTATATAAGATGTAATTAACGTTCTTCACGTAATTTTGTTTTGAAAATTGAAAACGACCTAAACTTATCGTCGAAACGTTCATATTTTGATAAGTATAATAAAAATAAAAAATTTACGAGCAACCAGTGACAGGTCGTTACAGAAATTACTCCTTTTATATTGTTCTGTTTAATATTGTTTATATATTATATTTGTATTTCATTTTATAACGTTAGATTGATACTGTAAGATTTGATAGATATTTTTTAATCGACGAAAGCATTCTTCCTTAATTAAATTAGGGCAAATGGAGAATAAGAATCAAATAGATTCAATTTGCAAACTCGCCATTTCATGAATGTTACATTTTAGACACTGTGCGCGCAGATGTAATAGACTAACAGACCAATGGTGGAATGTGCATTGGTCAGCTTTTCCTAACGTCTGCGGATTCAGAGAGCTTCGCTTACTTGGTCAAACTATTGTTTGCGTTACGGCATCTAGGCGACTATGTATTTGCGTGTGCTCATACATTTGTATATATCGTATTTGTATATATCGTGTTGATTGAGAATGGCGTTGATTGTGAAATGGAAAATTGTAGGCCGAACAATGTTGATCGTGAAGAACGCGAAAAAGAAGGGGAAAGTGATAGAAATACTCGTTGAAGAACATAAGAATTATGAGATAGTTTACAAACAGCTACATATGTATTACGTATTTATGAATTCCTTTTAGACAATAAATATGTTTTATTTATGTAGAAAAAGAATGTTGTGTTCATGTATAAAAATTAATGTTTAAATTGGCTGAATTATTTCGAGTATGATTGAAGCCTTACCTTATTATTACCAAAAGATCG